AATCAGAGTGCAAAAGGTTGTGGAATTTCCTTGGAAGTGTTGAAAGAACTGTGTTGTAGAAAAGAAATAGGAGATGTTGTATTCTCCCTTCTGTTAAGGGAGAGCTGTTCAATTTTAAAATAGATGGACTCTTTTATCCCTCTTTCAAAGCAATGATCCTCTCTCTCCAAAATATAGACAAAAAGGGCCACTCTTTGGAAGACAGCAATGTTCACATTTTGGATAGAGAGGATCAAGTCCTTGCAGTTTTCTTGGCAATGCCTTTGGAAGTGGTTTGCCATTGCTTCCTTCCTAGGGCTGAGAGAGAGTGACTGGGCCAAGATCACCAAACTGGCTTTGTGCCTAAGACAGGACTACAGCTCACAGCCTCCTAGTTTCTAACCCAGTGTTGGAACCAATGTTGAGAGTAATAATCATAGGGTTAATGTGTGGTCAAATAAGGTGAGGGGACTCTTTCACGTCCAAAAGATTTTACATAAATAATTGTAATTTGTGGGCTTTTTACATGTTTTCCTTTGCTTTTAGGTAAATGAAATTTATCATGACGAATCCCTGGGAGTCCACATAAACATTGTCCTTGTTAGAATGATCATGGTGGGATACAGACAGGTAAAATATACAGAATGTCACTCTTGCCTATATATTTAATTTAAATGTTTGCTTATGATTTACGTAGAGAGATTTTTAAAGAAGTAGTAAATAGTGGTGAAGGAATAGTGTTTTCCTTTCCCCTTTTCTTCCTCTTGTAAGAGCTGTTTTTAAAGTGATGTAATACAAACATTTCCATTGCCATAAATAAATGGTACTTGCCCATCATCCTCTAAGTGAAAGGATGCCCAAAAATAAGAAAAAAGAGGGAGTGTCAAAGAACTCCTACAAAGAACACAGCCTTAGTGGATATGTGTAATCATAGCATACTAGAAACGGAATTAGTCTTCCAAATGCTGCCCAGAGTTTTGTTTTTTTTAAAGGACATTCTTACTTGAATGTAGAATGCATATTGGGAAAAGACTGAACAAACCAAAGATTCTTAATGAAGAGATCAAACTTCTGTTCTTGGCCAGTAAAGGACTTAATGGTGGCCAAAAGCTTCTGTTTCATCTGACGTATAGACCAGCTTTAGTATTTTTTAAATTTATTTATTAGATTTATTACCATCTTCAAACTCCAAGGTTCTTGGTGGTGATAAAACATGGGAAGTAGCTGTGATATAAAATGAAGCGTAAAATCCAAAGACTGTGATTGATTTATCCCTTCTAGATGGAGTGTCCGCAGGGAGGGTGAGTCAAAAAAATCAAGATGGGCCATAACAATGCAATCCATCATTTGAATGCCTGGTTATGGCTGCCATTTTGATTTTTGTTGGCCCCTCCCTGTGGATATTCCTGCTTCTAGCCTTATGCATAACCATAGGACTTCTGGTACAGTTCTGTTTTCAGTTGTTTCTAAAAAGGCAAAAGCTGGGATGGGTTCATTTTAATTTAGAAGCTAGTGTTCAACGTAAGTGATGTGACAGAGAAGTGGAAATGAGGGACTTAGCAGCATTCTTTTCTAGGACAAATAAAGTGGGTTGATTTTGGTTGGAGAAGACAGCCCTTCAGGTCAAGCCATGTGAAGATATTGACTTAACCTTGTATTTTCTTACTCCCTTCAGTCCATCACTTTAATAGAGCGAGGGAACCCATCTCGAAGCCTGGAGCAGGTGTGTCGCTGGGCTCATTCTCAACAGCGATCAGATCCTGCACATGCTGAATACCATGATCACGCTGTATTCCTCACCAGGCAAGATTTTGGTCCTGCAGGTATGCAAGGTACTGTATTTACCTCAATCAGATATGTGCGGTTTGGTGGATACCACCAGAAAGGCCCTTTTATTTGACCCAGGCCTTTGTAGTAGTGAGTACATAAAAGTTTTAAAGCCAAAGTGGTGAATACTTGCATTAATTCACTTTGCTTTCTGAACAACAAACTGGAACCGGCTCGCTATTGGCTTCTTCAACTACTTTTCAAAATTTTATTTTCCAGTCTGATCCACAGTTCTGCTTTTTCCTTGTGGTTTTCTATTAGGATTCTAAAAGTTTTGCAAAAGACAATTAAATTCGGGTTTCAATTTAAGAACAGACTGCTGACATCAGTATATTTTGCCTTCCTGTGTTGTTTATACAATTGTGGTTTCTGAAGCAAAAAAGGGGGAAATCGCCTGTTTATACTCTCATCAGTTTTTACCAAAAAGAACCTAATAGTCCTGTGCTATTGCTTCTGTATGCTTAATAATTCCTCCTAACTCCTTTGGAAGTACACTTCACGGGTGGTAAAAACCAAGTTTTGTAAAATCATAGAATTAGAGAGTTTGAAGGGACTACAAGAAACATCTGTCCTGACCATNGGCATACAAATTTTATTAAACTTGGAAACTTGGAAACTCTGCAAATCATTTTAAATGTTTTGGTTAAAATTGGGTACCTCTTAAAGCATTGAGGCAGTTGCATCTTCCAGAGAGTTCAGCAAAATTGGTCTAAATTGCTTCTCCAGATTGTCTTTGAATGTACCTTCTTGACATTTGGGAGTTCTCCCTAAATGTACAGGAAAAATATCCTCTGCAGCTGATGGTGAAGTCAAGCAGACGGGCATATAAATGCCTGTGAAGATCAACTGATGAAGTTTGTGAAGTAGCTATGTCAAGCCTGCCAGAAAAGTGTGCCAGAAAATCCAGCTCCCTCAATGCTTCTAGGAAGTGAACTTGATTTGTGTCAGTGCACTTTGAATGCTGATAACTTACAAGTTTCAACAGTGAGATTACTTTTCCCTTCCCGCACTAAACCCATAATGATTCACAGCGGAGCACAAATAAGCACTCATCTCTTTCAGTTTTAAGTCAACTTTTCCTTTCACTGCAAACTTGTCTTTGTGACATGTGTAACTCTGTCTTTCCAGTTATCTGCACGATGAAGGGCATAAGTATTTCCTGCAGAGGGCTAATGAGCCAAATATTTTTTCTACTTTATCTCTAGCTGAATTCAAAGCATATGCATTCACAAGCAACCAGTTAATCCGCTCCAAAGTATGAAAAGAGGAGGGAAGGTTTCATTTAACAATGATGCTACTGCTCAGCAGCTGATCATTGTTCGCTTAGGATAGTATGTGGAATAACAGAGTTGGAAGGGACCTTGGAGATCTTCTAGTCCAACCCCCTGCTCAGGCAGGAAAACCTATACAAGTGTTGAGAAACCTTTTCGGCACCATGTGCCAAAATGGGAACACATGCATGCACATACACATGTTGTAAATCAGAAGAGCAGTCACCTGGTTGCTGGTCTTCGTGTGTGCATGCACAGTAGAAACCAGAAGACCAGGTTGCCGGCATGCATATGCACACTGGAAACCGGAAAATCATCTTCCCAGCGTGCGCATGTGCATCGGGTGGGTGCTCTTCCGGTTTCCAGTGCTCCCGCGTGCATGAAGACTAGCTGGCCAGCATACCGGAACCCAGAAGAACAACAGGCAGCAGCTCGCATGCCCGGAGAGAGTGCCACTTCTGGCATTGTACTTGTACTTGACGCCTCTTCACCCATCGTGGGTATAGGCGACTTCCATGGAAATTTGACGCCACTGTTTTCG